TCTCTCTCTCTCTCTCTCTTTCTCTCTCTCTCTCTCCCGCTGAATATATGAACCACAGACCGGGGTGCCATCAAGGTCGATTCATTGTACTAATTTTGCAATGCGTAAATGGAATCTTTTAGTAAAAGAAAAAGATTCATCCTTTTGAGAATGTAGAATAGTCTGAGGTGAGAGGTATTCTTAGTTTAAACAGTAGACATAGACATTATCGCGTTCACGCTACTGACTAAAGCCGTACTAACTAACCCAACCGCTATTGACAAGGAATTGATTGCACGAATATTTGAATCATGAATTGTATCGTATCTTAACGTTGTACATGTGTACATGTTTTTATATGAATATCAGTTATCAATGTCTAGTTCAGCGTACTTTAGTAGAATTTCGTTATAAGTAGTGGCAGTGTAACAGGCTCGTTAAATACCATAACTAATGGATTAATTGAAAACAATATTCCATATTATTGTATCACCGGTCATCAATAGGGGACATTACATTATATTATATATATATATATATATATGTGTGTGTGTGTCCGTTTTGTGGCATTTACTCCTACCAATGAACTATTCTATATTTATAATTATTGTTATTAATGTTCATAGCACTGGTCCATATTTTTGTACCACTTAAAGTATTATTGTTTATTATCGGACTGTAATCATTCAAAATAAATTTTGTGGATCACTTATTTCGTCTTCGTGTTTTCAAAACTCAACGTCGTTACATTTATTGTTGTATTACCGTATGGAATAAGGTTATTTTTTTCTCTGTTCTTTCTGTGTTTTGTTGCACTGGTGCAACAAAAGTTGTTGATTTGGAGCACATGTACTTGATTGCAACTGAAAGCCACATGGGAAAAAAGGGTTGATACTTTTTGGCATTTTGAGAAAAACGAGATTGAAATGCTTCGCAGTCCATGTTTTTCCGTAGAAGAGTTTATTTTTCGAGCCTGATGTTGGGCGAGTCGTCAGGTTTTAGATGGACCAGAAGAGGGTCGTAAACCCTTTTCAACCCACACCACAACTCGAATTATTCAAAAACTGACGTCTGATGTCAGAGTTATAAAGGGGAAAAAGTCATAATGGGATATACATGTATTTGCATGCAAAGAAGTACTGTGCGGCTTTGTCCTTCTCTTGAGTATGCAAATTTCCACTTGTGTTGGAAAGATAATCCACTGTTCTGGCTAGCATTCATTTTCACTTGTGGGGAGTTGGGGAATATTAGAGTACATTCTCTTTCTCAATGGAACAGCCTTGGTGTCGGCTATCTTTCTGTTCTGCTGTTTGACTCGGAACCGTAGGTTAAAAATTACACAACTATTATCATGAATAGACCTCGATAGGACCCCGTCTGTGGTTCATATGTAATCAACGGGAGAGAGAGAGGGAGAGAGAG